TGTGCCTGGGACTAGTGGCAGCAGCTTGAATTGAAGTGAGAAAATTCTAAGATCTAGATAGTGTTTGCAAACCCTTTCTTTGTAGAAACTTTCTCTAAAGTTCATTTTTGTCTTGCAATCCCTATCAAAATAACACAAGCATTCTTCTCAGAGCTAGAACAAGCAATCTTAAAATTTGTATGGAACCAGAAAAGACCCTGAATAGCCAAAGCAATCTTGAAAAAGAAAACCGAAGCTGGAGGCATCACACTCCCAGACTTCAAGACGTATTACAAAGCTGTAATCATCAAGACAGTATGATACTGGCACAAAAACTGACACTGAGATCAATGGAACACAACAGAGAACCCAGAAATAGATCCATAAACATATGGCCAACTAATCTTTGACAACGCAGGAAAGAATATCCAATGGAATAAAGACAGTCTCTTCAGCAAATGGTGCTGGGAAAACTGGACAGTGACATGCAGAAAAATGAACCTGGATCATTTTCTTACACCATGCACAAAAATAAACTTAAAATGGATGAAAATGGGGTGCCTGGGTGGCTCAGTCGGTTAAGCGTCTGACTTCAGCTCAGGTCATAATCTCACAGTTTGTGGGTTCAGGCCCCACATTGGGCTCTGTGCTGACAGGTCAGAGCCTGGAGCCTGCTCTGGATCCTGTGGCTCCTTCTCTCTCTGCTCCTCCCCCACTTATGCTCTGTCTCTCTTCCTCTCTCTCAAAAATAAATAAACATTCAAAAATTTTAAAAAATGGATGAAATACCTAAATGTAAGACAGGAAGCCATCAAAATCCTAGAGGAGAAAGCAGGCAAAAACCTCTTGGACCTCTGCTGCAGCAACTTTTTACTCAACACGTCTCCAGAGGCAAGGGGAACAAAAGCAAAAGTGAACTATTGGGACCTTATCAAAATAAAAAGCTTCTGCACAGAGAAGAAAACAATCAGCAAAACTAAATGACAACAGATGGAATGGGAGAAGATATTTGCAAATGATACATCAGATAAAGGGTTAGTATCCAAAATCTATAAAGAACTTATCAAGCTCAACACCCAAAAAACAAATAATCCAGTGAAGAAATGGGCAAAAGACATGAATAGACACTTCTCCAAAGAATACATCCAGATGGTGAACACACACATGAAAAAATGCTCCACATCACTCATCATCAGGGAAATACAAGTCAAAACCACAATGAAATACCACCTCACACCTGTCAGAATGGTTAACATTAACAGCTCACACAACAACAGATGTTGGCGAGAATGTGGAGAAAGAGGATCTCTTTTGCACTGTGGTGGGAATGCAAACTGGTGCAGCCACTCCAGCAAACAGTATGGAAAACATCTTCCATTTGGTTTTGTTAGACTGGCAGCTCTTGGAACCCAACCTCCATGCTGTGAGGAAGTCCAAGCAGCCTGTAGAAAAGCCCTCATGGAGAAGAACTACAGCTTTGCCTATAGCTTTGGCTAACTAGCCAGCATCAACTTGGCAGCTATGAGAGTGAGCCATCTTGAAACACGGCCTCCATCCTCCAGTTGGTTAGATACCATACAAAGTAGGCAAGAGCTGCCCCCACCAAGCTCTGTCCAAATTGCAGATTTTTTTTTTTTTTTTGGAAATAAGTGACTCTTGTTGTTTTAAGTTACTACATTTTGGTATGGTTTTCTATACGACAAGATAACTGATACAGTTCCCTAATTATATAAACACTAAACATGCTTTTTGGTGCTTATTTTGGGTAAATTGCTTTGACTTAGAGCTGCCTCTCTTCCTCACAGGCAGCTGTCCTAACAACTGTTCTAACCTAGATTCTACAGAGATGTCTGCAACTGCTGAGGAAGCTAAGTGATGACAGGTGAGTGGACTATTGTTTTTGAGTCCCACTTGCTCAGTGGATATGAGGAAGGAGTACAGATGGTATCCTCTTCTCCTAGATATGAAGCTTCTGTCAGCTTCAAGGGCCTATGGATATATATAGGTAGGCAGCTAGATGTATTTTTTTTCATAGAGTAACTGATAACACTAGCATTTTGTATTTCCAAAAAGAAGGGATGCCATATACTCCTATACCTGATATACATACACTGCATTTATTACTGTCATTGATTATTAATCATGTACCTAGAAGCTGCTCATGAGAGAGGCTCCATTCTTCCCTAACATCCCTCTTGGACAGCTGGGGTCCATGCTTATCTCAAATACTCTACTGGATGTGTCCATGCCAGAGAGGGTCTGCCATCCTTCCTGGGTCCAGAAATTAGCCATATGCCAAGAGGTGAAGGTTTACTGGGACCTATTCCTCACTGTTACTTGGAACAGTATATCTCTTTTGAGCTGAGATGAAACCAAACTGAGACATATCTGATGATGATGATGATGATGATGATGATGATGATGATGATGATGATGGTGGTGGTGGTGGTGATGCTATTAACTTTTCCCTTTGTATCTCAATTTTATTTCCTTTGCTCTCTGTCTTCACTCCCTGTTCCACTCCATCTCCAATAGTCTTATTCAGAAGAAATTTAGCCTCTTTTTTAGATAGTTCTTTTGTACACATTCCAAACCCAACTCATGCTATCAAGCTCTTTATGGTTTTTTTCCCCTCCTGCCAACCTGACAGTTTTAATTCCCTAGCAGAAACCACTACAGTGAGTAGGACAAAGAAGATTGCCAAGCAGATACAATCAAGATGGATGATGAGAGTGGCTCCATCTTTTTCCTTACCCTGCATGCCCACTGGAAGAATGTTTACCTGAGCACAGATGCTTTTCACCCCTCTTCCTTCCTTATGGAACTGGGGCTTGCCCTTGGGAATTCAGCATTTCTCTCTACACCAGTTAGCTGCTTGGAGGTTTTGGAAAGGGAAGAATTCTCTTATCACTATTTCTGCAAATGGATCCCAGTAAGGCTTTACAGCCCGAGAACCCTGGGAAAGTGTGTGTGTGTGTGTGTGTGTGTGTGTGTGTGTGTGTGTGTGTGTATGCTGAGAGTGAAGTTGTTATTCTTTGGCATACTGGCTGGAATTAGCCCATCAATGGGGGCTCAGAGCTTCCAATTCACTTCATATTCCCAAGAAAGGCATCTAGGCAGAGAAAGAGAAACTAAAGCAAACACCCAAGGAGAGATGGCCTCAGTGTTATGCACCTTGAGTGTGTTTACATGACCGGAGTGGGTGGGTAGTGGTAGGATGTTCTGGTTCTCCAGATTATATCCAGATGCTAAACCTTTACCATGGGTTTGGTACTCTGCGGTGGGGAGGGGGGATCCCAATTTTCCACCTCCTGGCTGACTGTGAGCTAAAAGGGCTCAGGTTTCAGAGAAAGCTGTTCCTCTAGCACTCAAGGCCAGTTTTGATGCATGTTGTGTGGATGTGTTTTCCCAGAAGCAAGTATCCTTCTTGCTCTTTTATGAGCTTCATGTCCTTTTAGGAGCTTCATGTCTCAAAGCCAGTGCTTTGTGCCCAATGAATGCTTTGAGAGGGTGAAATTCCTTAACTCCCCTTTGCTGCCCCTATGTCTTCCTTCCTTGGCCCACAGCCCATCCTAGGGAACTGTGCCACTCTCACATTGCTTTCACTCCTTGAAAGAACAAACATCTTCACTGCAGCCTCAGAACACTGGTGTGAGGTGATTGTTTATAGTAGATGTTTCCATGACACTCATTTATTTCTTCTGCAGATACAACTGTGTTGGGGGAGGGGATGAGAGGTTAGAGTAGAGAGACTGAGAAATATGGAGACCTTGCAATTGCCTCATCTGTCTTCCTCTGTAGGAGTAAGAAGTCCATCAGCCCCTTTCCCTGGGTCCCTCCATCCCAAACCCCTAAACTGCTCTACAAATCCATCCTGGCTTCATGATGCTGAGATGGGACTAAATTCTCAGATAGGTGAGGAGGGGAGGAATTTTATGCATGAAGAGGCAGCCTTTTTTAAGACAAGGAACAAAAAACACTTTTATTGCTCAAAGTAGAGATTTACTAATGATGAGCAACAATGACCTGCACTGGGGGTGGTAGTGTGTGTACGTGTGTGTGTCGGGGGGGGGGGGGGAGAAGATTCTCTGACACTCCTTCAGCTGAGCCAATGACTCATTCTAAATTGGAGTGACTTTTGGAGGTCATTTTAGTCATCCCCCTGCCTTCAGGCCGGATGGAGCTTAACTTAACAATATCATGTTTGGGTGGAAGGGGGTGCGTTGCTGAGGGAAGAATGTCCGTGTGTGGAAAGGAGTGGCGCGGGGCGGGGGATATTGTGTGACCTCTTTGAAAAGATCTCCAGTGAAGGACGTTCCCTAGCTTTCCCAGGCTGCCCTGCCCGTTCCTGGGTTTCCCCATCATTGAATCAGCATGGTCCTCTAGGGAACTGCTTTTTGCTGGTTGGAAACCGGATGTTGGGTTCCCTGGGTGGGCGGGGGCGACGTCCCTTCTAACATTTCTGGGGTAATTGAGATTCCCAGGGTCCCGTTAGCAAGCCCAAGAAGCTACCATTCCCTTCACCAGGAACTTGCCATGCAGTGTGAGCAGAGAACAGAACAGAGCAGAGACGCTACAACGCCTTCTCCCTGGCAATGCGCATGATTCTGCGGCTCTGTGCTCGCCACACTTCAACGCACCTTGAAATGGGCTCGCCTCCTTCGCGCCACAACGGACAGACTTTCGAGCCAATCGGCCCCCAGGCTTGCGAGCAGTGTCCAATGGGAGGGCGGTGGGGGCGGTCCCGGAGGCCCGGCCCTGGTAGGCTTCACCGTGGAGCTGGCTGCGCTCTGCCGGGGCTAGTAGTGCAGGTGCCGCTGCGCCGGGGGCCGGGGAGGCTGCGCGCCGAGCCGAGCGTAGCCGGGGAGGGATGGAGAGCGGGCCGGCGGGGCTGCAGGAGCACCGGCGTGGGGCGTAGGCGGGCGCGAGCGGGCGTGAGCAGGCGCTCGGGCGCGAGAAGTGTGCGGGCGCAGGAGCACTTTGCGATAGGATGAGGCTCTTGGCTGGCGCGCGGTAGTACTATGATTTGGTATGTGGCCACTTTGATAGCAAGTGTGATCAGCACCCGAGGTCTTGCGGCTCAAGGTGAGTTGAAGTGCAGCGCCCCTCCTCTGGCCCTCCGCGGCGTCAGCCCTTTCTTCTTCGTTTCGGGCTCCCCGGCCCCGCTGAGCGTTGCGCCTTTCCGCGGGCGAGGCTCTGGTTCGGTTGAGGAGCGCTCCGGAGCACTGCGGGGAAGCGCTGTGGGCCGCGGGCCGGAGGGGCCGGGTGGGAAGGGGCCGGAATCCAAGGGCTGCCTGGCACTCGGGAAAAGATCTTGGGATCCGGGTCGACTTTGTCCACCTTCGGCCTCAGGGTTTCATACCGGCGTGCCGAGCCAGGTGCTCTTTGCCGGAGCAACCGCCTTCTCTAGCGCTGGGGAGTCGGCGGCTTTCCTAACTCTGGCTGCCGGGTAGTTTGTGGGTGTTTGGGTAGGCTGCAGCACGCACGAGCCCCGCGCAGCGCCACCGCTCCACAGTCCAGCCTTGGGACTCTCGGCACCCACGGCTAGCTAGCTAAAGGGACTGGTTTTTCGACCCTGCGGGCGCCCCAACTCCAACTCGCATCCCTTCTGATCACACATCCTGACAGCTAGGGGTTGGATTCCCCTTGCGGGGCTGGGGGCGCAGGCAGCCCCGAAAGAGAAGAGCAGGTTAAACGAGGGAGTCTCTTGGCCGGCTCAGAGGAGTGTCCGCTTTTGCCTAGCCCTGCCAGGCGCCCGCGCCTGTCTTAGCCTCACCTGGGCCCTGGCCAGGCAAAAGTTCCCTAAGAGCGGGCCCCAGGCGTGCGGACTCCACGTCGCCCTCACCGGCTGTGAGGCAGAGCTGGCTGGGTGTGAGGGTGGCGGGGTAGGGGTCCCCACTGCCTCATCTCGGAGCGGAGGGAGGTTTCTCTTTTTCTGGTTTCCCTGTCTGAGCTGGGGAAGAGACAAGAGGGAAGCCAGCGACTTGGTTGATGCGTGCGTGAGCGCGCGCGCTTTTGCTTTGGAGACGGGCAAAGCGACCTACAAGCCTCTGGGTGGCACCCCAGGCTCTCGGCCCTTGTATGGAAGCAGGAGCGGAGCCCGGAGGGTGCGAGGACTCTGAGCTCACCGTTTTCACCACGCAGACACGACCCAGCTGCGGGCAAGTTCACAAAGCTGGGAGGAGAGGAGAGCGGGGAGAAAACCCGTCGGTGGGTGGAAGTCAGCAGGGAGGACCCGGCAAAGAGAGAACCCGCTCCCAGCCGCGCTAGGGTAGAGGGGGTTCGCTGGAGGCGCCTTTTACAGACAGGGTCCTCTCTTGTCTGAGGGTGTGTAGGGGGAGAAAGGAATGATTTGAGAAAGTTTCTAGAATGGAATGTCTTCCATGCTATTGGAGGAGGGGAGTGAGTCTGAAAACCGAACCAGAGGAAGGTGAAGGGAGGGTAATTTTGTTAAATGGTACGTTGCCTTGGATGGTTTAAAACCTCCATTTGTCAGGTGGGAAAACTGAGGCCAGGGAAATTCAGAAGCTTATGAAATGGGGGTAGGCGTGAGATCGGTCGAGTTGTGTGTGAGAAATTGTTCTTAGCTTCAGCCTCCTCCTTTCCCCTATTTCCTTGTAGTCTTCCAATGCCCTCGTCCTCCTCCCCTCCATTTTTTGGTACGTTCCTGCTATGGGACTGTCGCTGAAAGCACCAAGAGGAGCTGCTGGGATCTTTGAATAAAAAAGAGACACTGAAAGGAGGCTCTGAAATAGCTTCTAAACTGGAGAAGTCAGGGTGAGGGGAATGGACTTTGTGCAAGTTTAAGCACAGAATAAAGGCAAATGGCAGCAACACACAGAATGGCTAGACAGAAGGAAGGACTTCCAAACAACATTGAAGGTTATTGGGCATGAAGGTTATACCCTCTTTCTGGGTGTGGAGAGATCCTTCTGTCTGGGATGGCTTGACATGCACCCTTGAGCCTGCCACCTCTGTTGGTCTTGGAGTCCTTTTAGCTTAAAAAGCCAGTATATATGGTAGTTGAGGACCTAGGTATAGAGTCACATGATCTGGTTTCATATCTTGGCTCTGCCACTTGCTGGCCTTGTGACCTTGGATAAGTTGCTCAACCTTTTAAATGTCACTTGCCTCAATGGAAAAATTGGATTAACAGTATGAGCTTGCAGGGTTTTTTGGTGAACATTAGTGCTGTAAAGAAATGAATGACTACCTGTTATATAGTAATTGCTCAATAAATGTGAATATTATTATTATTATTACATTCAGTATCTCTGGAGTTCCAGGCCCCTTCTCAGTTTCTTTCCCTTGGACCATTCAGGGCATTGGGAGATGGAAGTGTGTTGAGGGAAGTTCAGAAGACTGCCTCTGTAGGAATCAAGTACCCTTTCACAAGCTGACCTTGCCTGGGCAGAACCCCTTTTTCCTCTGAATCCCAGGGAGGTATGCAGAGGGTGTGCAGACCTCAGGACTACTTGGAAATTCTTTGAAAGATCTGCAAAACTCAGAGTTTGTCAGTGGCCAGAGAGGCTTGTGGGAAGGATGCAGGGAGCCCGGGAGCCAAGCAGGTCCTAGCATCACAGACTCTGGGGGGAGGGGGAGGGGATCTGTGTGGCAGGGTTTTGGCTCATATGGGAAATACCAGTCACTGTTCAAAAGCTGGCTCTGTGTGACAGCTCAGCTCTTGTCTGACTGGCAGAGGTGACTTCTGAGGAGATTTCTGACAGGGAGGGACTTTCAGATGCCACCTTTAGGGTTTGGCCGAAGTAGGGGCCGCTTTAGCAGAGGGGTAAAAGGGAATGGGCCCCTAAGCCAGTGTCGGGTTGGGACAGTTAGGGATGGGCTTCCCATCTGACTTTGATCATGTGTGTCTGGGAGGTGATTGAGGTCAGTGGAGAGGTTGGGGAGGGTAGGGAGAAGATAGGCATCTGGAATCTGGAAGATGGTGATTGAAGCCTCAACATCCTGGACTGAGGAAACTTGGGGCAGGACCTTGGGCCATGCCTAGATGACTCTGGACCTCCCATAGGGGAGAAGAAGTCTGGACCTTTATTCCCAAGGCTGCCTCCTCCTGTCAACCACAGATTCTGTGGTTGGACGATCCCTGACTACAGTGTCCCCAAATAAAGTGGGGTTCTGACTCAGATCCTACTGGTAGAGTGCCTGGCCTTAGCTCTCCCTTCTTCCCTTTGCTGATGAAGATGAGAGGGAGGAGATTTAGACCAGGAGGCTGCTAGCAAGACCCCATGGGCAGTCCATCAGCAAAGGACTCTGCTCAGCAAGTAGCCAAGTGGTGTGTGTGTGTGTGTGTGTGTGTGTGTGTGTGTGTGTGTGCGCGCGCGCCTGTGTGTGTGCATCCCTCACACACTTGCCAGAGACAGGGGTGTGTCTGGCAGCACACACCCTGGGAGAAGCTGAGGAAGGGATGTGTTGGAAAGGGCATGGCAAAGGGGCAGTGGGAAGAATCAGCTTTCAGCTCTTGACCTGAGGCCCAACATGTGCCAGACTTGGAGTAGGCAGGTCCCAGAGCTCAGTGGTTTCATGTTTGTGGCTCTGAGACAGAAAGCTGGGATCTGGTTACCCAAGGAGCAGAGGCTGCCTAGCTGGGGAGATGCTGAAACTCAGCATCTCTCTGCTCCTCCCTCTTTCCTGGCTCCTGGCACTGCTCTTCTGATGCCTGCGTTTTCTCTCCCCTCTGCCCACCCCAGCCAGGGCGCGGCTCTCAGAGCCTGGCCTGCTGCTCTCTCTTCTCCCTTGGCCCTGTCTTTCTCAGGCCTGCTGGCTGCTTTCTTCTCTCTCCCAGCCTTCCTGTGTGCTGGCAGGGGGAGGGAAGTGAAGGCCGGGAGATATGTTCTATACAGGGCTAGGCCTGAGATTTAACGCACTTTTCCTCCCCTTGAAAGTCTCCTCTCTTCCTAGACACATCCTGTGACCTTCTCAGGCTGGGGCCCAGGGTTTCAGGGGGGCAGTTTTCTTCTGTCTGCTCCCTAGCATTGGTTAAGCAGCTTGTGTGAAGAGTGGATCTGAATTATGAAAATAGCTGTAATTGGTGTGAGCTGTCTGGAGATGTGTGCACATGCCTCTATGTGTGTGCATGTTTACATGTGTGTGTAAGTATACATGCCTGTGCTTTTATGTGTGTGCATGTGTGTGCACACACCTGTGTGTGTGTGTGCACTTGAGTGTTTGCATGCATGTGTATAGAATGCAGGATGACAGGGGGACAGTTAAGCTCCAGGCACGAGGTGGGGAGTCACTCCCCTCCAAGTGCTATAGTTGGCAGCCAGACTGTACTCAGAGCAGATGTCTTACTTTCCTTATCCCCCTGCTCTGTACCTGAGTCTAGACAGCCCAGAAGTTTCCAAAGTTGGAGGCTTAGCCCAGGGACTGGATTGAAGGATGTCTGATGTCCCTGAGAGAAAGCCTAAATGGGGGACAAACCCAGACAGAGCTCCAGGGGACAAAAAATGGGCCTGTCTTGCTACAGTGGGCTCTGGCATCAGTTGCCTGTTAACCCAGTGCACTCTACATAGAGTAGAGAAGGGGCTGGGTCCCTGGGGAGATGGGAGAGGGTGCTGGGACTGCAGAGGCAGCTTGTAGCCTGGCCCCCTCAGGGGCACTGCCCACGGGTGCCAGCGCGATCTGCCCGAGGCAGCTGACCTATTTTTCTTAGGAATCTTCCTGCTTTTTTGTTCTCTCTTGCGTGAATAAGCAGGAGACTGGTGAGCAGAGACAGGGCCTCTGTAAGGGTTTTGGAGAACAATTCCATGTGAGCCAAAGCTTTGAGGGAAGTGCCAACCAGCTTAACTGTCCTTCTGAGAAGAGAAGGGACGGGGATAGTCCCCTCTGCCTGTCATTGTATCTCCAGCCCCCCCTCCCCTCCACATTTCCCCTTACCTCCCTCCTAGTCACAGGCATCCACCAGGAAGGTCTGTGGCAGACAGCTTGCACACAGGCCTGCCTTCACAAATTGTATAAGGTGAGCCATTGTCCTTATTTTCCGGCTTCAGAGTAGGGAATGCTGACACCTTACTGTAAGTAAATATGGAGCTTCAATTTCCCCCTTTCTTTCTTATCTTGTCTTC